ATATATAACAAAAATTACATTATGCAGTCCAAAATTATATATTTAAATCAAGTAACGTGTATTATTCAGACATCTTGGTTATCGTACTATTGTCCGATTAAAAATTTTTAAAACCAATTTTGTTTGTATAAATTTTATATTCCATTCGTGGTAGTTTTACTACTACTGCAATTTCCTGGAAAAATTGGAAGAAAATATTGTAAGTTCAAAGGTTCCAAGTATTAAATATTAGCATAAACCAAGTTTTATAAAATGTGCACATAGTTTACATACAATACGTTGAATCTTCCATATATTTCATATAAGTTTGTTTTGTTTTATTTTCTTCTTACTTGTACCTAGTACCTTCAAGGATTAATGGAACTACATTATCAATAACATTATATGCCAAGAAAAATAAAAATAAAATATTTTTCAGACACTTTATGAATTAATTTTTTAATTCCTTTAAAAAATATATATTGTTCTAGAAATAAATAAGATGGAGTTATAAACTGAATAATATTGCGTAATATTAATGTTCTATAAATATGCACAAAAATGCATGTAGATAATCAATATAATAATGTAATAAAATTGTTGTAAAAATAATAAGCTTATAATTAATTTAATGTAATTTCAATATGAAATGATATACATGCATAAAAAATATAGCGAAAAATACTATGTTACGGGTATAAATATATATATAAAGACATGCATTTTATTTTAAAACATTAAACACAAATACTATTTCAAATCATTTTGCTGATCATTGATAGTATCATAATTATCAGTAGATAGTCTCTTTTTATATAAAAAATCGTCAAAAGCAAAAGCAGTCTATCATCTTTAATGGGACAACCGTGTAGTCTTCATCACAGCGCCAGTGAAATATTCTTCATCCGATGATTCGCTCATCGAGATTACATCCCGCGCTCTCACAAGCATGTGCGCATGCGTCTAAAGGCGAAAGCGATCTTTCTTCTATCGTACCCGGAGTTAAAACGGTGAAATCCGAGGCGCTTGAACAAAAAGAAGAGGCGTGCGCACGTATCATCGATGCTGCTGTGAATTCATCCACGCGCTTGCAAACTAACAAGAACTCGAGCTCTTAAAAAAAAAAAAACGGGCAAACGTGCGCCACCCGCGGCTCGATGTCATGATGCATCTGAAAAAGTGCAACACTACCGACTATTTCTCGTTCTGAAGCTTCGTTATTGTTTAGATTTTTTATAAAGGAGCCTGGAGTGTGACTATTATGTTAAGATTCTGAGCTATGCGTTTGAAAAAAATGTATCTGGCGAAACGAAACTGATAGGGACGGTAAGAGGGTGATACTGGATTTCACAATGTGCATGTGCAAATATTAGACTATTAGAATAATATTTCGATAAATAAAAATTGCGTAAATTGAAAATCTCGATATCTCGATATAATAACGACCTGGATTTCGAATCAATGGTACTCATATAGGAAGCGAAATACATTAGCGTTATTGCAGCTCGTAAATTAATGATAACACACATAATTAGCACTCTGCAAAGAAAATATGAAGAAAACTTTGAAGAATTGACTTCCTTTGGTATTCTGCGCATATATTTAATAAGCAATAAAAATTGGTATCGAGTTATATGTCAATAGCCTTTCACAAATAAATTGAACGCAACTCAGAATTCTTCAAAATTAATGTAATTTGTTATTGACAATTCTAATTAAATGCAAATATACAACAACTAAGAAATATAAATTATATCGAATATGATTTCTGATATTATTTCTAAGTAATAATGTCCAGTATTCAATTTAATAGTTTTAATAGTTCAAAATAATGCGATAAAAAATCGATATTTATAAAAAGCAATTCGATATAATTCTATATAATATCTATATAATTAGTCGGTATGAACTTTGACATAACGAAACAATAATTTAGTTAAGTTAAAAACAAAAGAAATTCATCGCTAGTAACACTCGCATATCTTTATAATTATTTAAAAGGAGCGATAATTTCTTAAGGTTTTTAAAAAAGTTTGCATGATATTAAAAATAGATGTTATTATACGCGCAAGAATAATAAGTAATAAAATAATAATATATCAATTTTTACTTGCTGTATTTTCTAAAGTTATTTTTATCAGTAAAATATATACTTATTATCATTAAATAATACATTCATAAAATCGCAATTTAAGAACAAACGTGAATGTATGTCGAAAATCAAGCAATTTAATACGAACTATTTTTATTGTTTGTTAAATGTAGACGAGCGTAAGGTCAATGAATTTTTAACATTGCAAAATTCACTTGTCTTTCCTAAAAACTTCTCACTGCGTACGTACCTACCATTTTTTTTCTTACTACTGAGTACTGGATTGGTGAGAGTGAGGACGGGAACAGGGAGGAGAGAGAAAGCAAGCAAGATAAGGCCAGCTGTACGCATACAATCGAAGAACCGCGCCGATTGCCAATCCGATTTATTAAATCTCTCGATCGTACAAGGCGAACATATAACGTCTGTGCCAGCCGCAAACTTAAGGACATACTTCCTTTACCGATATTGTTACCCGCTTTCCCCCAGCCCCTTTAGATTACCTGAGTAGACCTTGTCCTCCTCAACCACAGGAAGAGCTCAAACATAACATATGGGCTTATATCGTATTGTCCAAATCTGTCAAAAAAAAAGTATGTTGTTAAAACTCGCTGGTACTCGAATATTAATTAATTTTAATTTTAGATTTAATTACAAATAGAGAAGTTATATTGCAATATTCTATTGCAATTTGTTATTATAAATATATTATATTTGGCGACAGTTAACAAAATGTCTCTATTAGTTATAATATTATTAAATGTGTTCAAATAAATAGTAGCTCTATGGTTTCGTACGTAATTACTGTTGAAAGGTTGTTATGATTTTAATATATATATATATATATATATATATATATATAAGCCTAAGTGCTATTTTTATCATTCGCAATTACTTTACATTGCCATTTATTTGAATTTGAAATGAGAATAAAAATGTAATGTGAAATCAAGTGCATTTGGAAGAAACGCTTTTCCAAAGAAGAAAACCTTGTGATTCATATAATCTATTGCATTAAATATGCGCTAAATGATATATCGCCCGAGATATAATAAAATCTAAATTTTACTTATTCTTACGGGGCATTTTATAAGTCGCGTTAATATTGTTCCTCGACGAGACTCGATTCTCAACAATAATTGTCATTTTGGCGCATCACTCTTTTTTATAGTTATATTTAAAACAGAGAAGCATCGTTTTACTTAGGTAAAAGAAATGTTTCATTTCTTTCGTATTTATTGTATGTTTTTGTATTTCTTTTTGTACTTTTTTTTAGTTTTTGGTTTGTTTTCTGTTTCTTGCATTTTTTTTTATATTTAATCTTAAAGCTGACGAATTAATTTGTATTATGTTGCGTGATATTTCTCTTAATTTTTATTGCTACTGTAATTACAAAAAATATGCGTTTATTATAAAGTTTTCTCAAAGCTATTTTGAAGAAAATTAAAAAACGTGCCATTAAATTAGCTGTTGATTATATTGGTGAAATTGATGTTTCCATGGCTTAGTATTAGTGATAATGTAATTGATATATTTGTTAGAAAATGGCAAAATTTTTAATAAACACAATAATATTGCTAACTTATAAATATTTACATTCAATTTTTCCGAATAACAAAAACAGCACTGTGAGTTGCAATTTCAGCTTCATAAGTCCCATGTTCAAATCAATTAAAACTTTATGATTTAAATAATTACTTGTTCGCGATTGAAGCAATTTCCAAGACCGTCGACTATCGGCATCGTCAGTCTCTCTAGCTCTCATGTTTCTGTAAACACTGTAACTAGACGAGAATTTTCGTGCATTTGTTATGTTTTGTTTTAAAATGGCCTACAATGTTTATATGGTCTTCGCATAGTAACGTTGTTTTGGAATTCTCCAAATTTGTTAAGCCTTATTTTTTCTTAGAATTCTCGAAACTTCTCGAATATTCTGTAACCTTGCTCTGACGATATAAAGACTTTTGGCCTATCAACAAGCCTAAGCACTCCTAACAGCGTTAAAAGCTGCCACGTTAGTATTTAAGGGCAGCCGCCACGCTCCTGGGCTCACTGTACCTTTACCATTTACTCAGTCATCAGTTATTGCTCACTGTATCTTTATCAATCATTCACTCATCGGTTATTGCTTAAAGTAATTTTTCTCAATGAATGAGATATGTTATTAACCCCGCCACATACCAGTAAAGTAATTGTAATATACCTACATAATTCTGACAACTTCTGAAATAATAATCTAATAAGCCAACGGTGAAGCCATAAGAAATTATAACCATTAAGAGCGCTATATTCAAGTAGACACGGGTGCTAAGTGTAATTCAAGGGTGAATATTAAACTAGAAGCGCACCACCTATACATTCATCACAAACTAAGGTAAGACAAATAAATTTACCGTGAAGTCAATTAAATGGAAAAATATAGATTAAAGGCGCAAGAGCGAAAGACTAAAATAATTCAGGTCAATGACCATCTTCGTCGGAGCATAGAAAAGTGTTCAGGCGCATTCATGAAGAAGGAGCTATTTGGAAATTCGACCTTTACAACATATGAAAATATATCTCTCTGTGCTCCACCCTTTGATCTGAAAAAATTTATCTATCCAAGATTATCCATTTTCTGCAGTTTTTGACCTCTCTCGTATTATTAATTCTGAAGTCAGTATCATTACTCAAGTCATTAAAACGATTGAAGATGGGCTTCCCCATTTGACTGAAAAAGTGTTAACTATTTCATTTGTAAGTAACATTGATCCTATCTCTGACAATGGTGAGCAAACAAAGCTCTCCGTAAAAGTCGAAGACCAGTATAAGTATAAACAGATAGTAGAAGCTTTGAAACTAGGTATCAGAATTCCAGGGATATATGAACCAAACATATTTTATTATGTCCAACACGGATTAAATTGATTCTCTGAGGACCGTGTTATAGCTGTTTTTAATGAGGCTTCTGACAAGAGTCTGTATTCAACAGTAATCGACGTTTTTAGAGGAGAAAAATATTGTAAACTCTGGTTAGCTGTGTATGACTTTCACATATTGGATGAAACTTCAGATGAATTGTATTCCATAGGATCTCAGTAAATTATACTCGTAAAAGACATTCGACAGTATCTATCCGGTAAATTCACCAAGCCTAAGAAGTTTGGAGAATTCCAAGCGACGTTACTGCTTGAAAATCTTAACATTGTAGGCCATTTGAAGCCAAAACATAACAAATATTAGAAAATTCTCTTCGTACCCAAGTGTTGTTTACAGGAACATGAGCAATAGGAACATGAGCAAATGAGCAATGTCCCGAACACTACTTATTAAAATCACAGTAATTACATCACTTTAAGACATTTCAATAATAAAATTCGTTTAACTATTTTAAAGTTAAACTAATTCATATACCGACTTAGAAGCCGTTTGCAAAAGCAAGAGAGAATGGTAATACAACGGCAAGGAAAAGGTAATATTATAGCTGGACCTGCTTACCCAGCAACTCTGTGCTAAGACCGCCATAAGATTGTCTACGGCAACACGAGACTTCGCTTTCAGTTTCATTCCACTTATCGCATATAGAGTTTTTTTTTTCTTGTAGATATGGAAAACTATGTGCCTTGTAAAAATTCTGTAACACTGTTTTAATCGTTATTAGGTTGAACGTTGAGAGCAAGCTTAAATAGTGAAACTTAAATTAAAATAGTGATCAGGAAAATCAAGACTATACTTATGATTATAGTTTAACTGATAATATTGTTAACTGTAAATGAGATTATCAATTCGTTAGAAATTACATTGTCATTTTTTGTCTTATTGCTTTTTTCATACATAATGATTCTTTTCTTCTATCTTGAGTATCGTAAATAGTACATATACAATACATTTATTCATTTCAATTTCTCACCAATTATTCTCGTTCATTAATGAATATCATTTCTGAAAATTTATAATATCAAAATTATTATGCCAGCCAAATTATTCTAACTGGATAGTTATAGTTGTATTTTAACTATATTTTAATAAATTTTTCTTACTTAACAGATATTACAATGTTTTCTGCAGTGTATATAAATCTTACATCTTTATACCATTATGTATTTAATTTCTTAATTTTAAATAATTATAAATAATTGTTATAAATAAATCGTTTTATCAAATTATATAAAATTAATATAAAATTATAATGAAAAAATCTACTGTAATATTTCAAAAATAAATAATATTTTAGGTGTTTAATGGCAATCAAAAGATAATTTTATTTTCATCTGTTTTATTTCCGTTTCCATAAATTTAATGTCTAAAATCTTAAATGCAAAACTAAATAAAACTAGGTATACATAATTCGTATTGAGTATCTAAAAAATATATTTATTTTAGGAAACCTCTAGATAATTAATGAAATTCACATAAAGCAATAATATTTTTATAAAATCTTTTTACTTGTATGTTGTAATATAAGTTTTATGCTTTATTGTTGACATTTTGTCAAGCGACCGTTTATTTTATATTTTATATAATTGTAAGTATCAATTTTATAATAACGAAGTATTAATAATATGAATTGCCTTGTCATATCAATCGAATATCTAATTACTCTAGCTAAAGTTTATCTTTCTTACAATCACATACATTGTTAAATTTTAAAACACAAAAGTAACAAAAATAGTAACTTACAGGAATTATTACAAGGTAACGTAGGTTTTCCATTTAATCATAAAATTAAATATATATGTTCGAACAATATTTTTCGATACTATTAAATAACTTTGAATTTATGAAGATAAATATATGTTCAATAATTTAATAATTTTTAATTTTGGAAATATTTGTTTTTGTCTAATTATAAAAGTACAATATTTTTTTAACTATTTCATTATCGTAGGAGAAGTTCACGCTGAAAAACCTTTTATGACTTATGCACACCTGATGTTTTACCTAAAAATTTTTAAAACAACCAATAAATTTCTATGACTTCAAAAATAAAACTAACTCGAAATGTGAATTATACTGTTCAAAACGTTACAATAGATTTTAAGGACGGAAAATCGTATATCAGGGAAATAATACGTCTCATATCCCCTGAAATTTACACTCGCTGTTTTTACCCACTTAAGTTCATTATTGCCGTGCGCCATTCGAAGGAAGAAGCCTACGGCATCCGAACGTTCCGGGAATAACGCACGTAACGGCCCAAGAAATCCTCCAACGTAGCTAAAAATATGCCATCAATGATAAATCCAGAGACTCCTGGGGCATCGAAAATAGTACAGCCCCGCAGCCAACGAACTCTCATGCACGCGTGCCTCCTTTTTGCATATTTCCTCGTTATATATATATATATATATATATATATATATATATATATATATATATGGTCACGCTCGCGGCGGAAGGTCGACAGCCTCGTCGACAAGTCGGACCTGACAAAAATTCGAAATGATACGTATCACCTTTCGTTGTAGTCTTGTCGCTGGTATCAAAGTTAAACAGGGGGTTGTGCGCGCTTCGTTAGATGTGCCTTAGAAACTATGGGATAGAGGAGAAAGGAAAGTGATAATATGGAAAAGATGCTTGATGCCGCTCGATAATGTATCACGCAAATATTCATGCACTTTAAACGGATATTATTTTTTTTTACTTCTTTTTAAGTACTACACTGACAGTTTTTACTCCAGGAATGCGTTATATTGGATAGGAATTATATTTAAATCATACCTTTTCGTTTTCAAATTTACATTAAATTTCAATTGAAAAACCAAACATCACCAATAACTTTATATTATTAATATTATATTTAAACGCCTTTAAAATGTACACTTCCTAAAATTATCACGGGCAGATATAATATTTACTCAATATGAGATAGAAACAGATTATGTATTAAGATGCAACTATATTAAATATTAATATAAAATACATAATTTATATTTTTTCGTTTAATGATCAAACTATTAGATGCTATACATTAACTCAAATTAGAAAATATAAGTATGGAAGACGGTTGCTTTGCACATAGTGCTTACTTGTGCACATTTTCTTCGCAGAATTATAAAATTCTATTATTACATTTTTGTAAGTCTTATTAACCCCATGTCAAATCAATATTTTTTATTAAGCATCTTAAAAATGCAATTAATCAATTTTATAAAAACGTTTATTTAATTCTCATTTATCTAGTTCAATTTTAATGCAAAAATTATAAAATGTTTACATAATTAAGTATTGAAATTTATATTTATATGCTTCATAAAATTGAATTAATTTGTTCTTAACTATTTGTATTATTCTATACTAACTTCAAAATGTGATAATTTTAAGATATAAAATTTAAGATTGAGTACAACTTACACCGTACACGGCTCATAATAAAGTATATTATTATCTATGAAACTTTTAACTTCAACAACTAAAGAATAAATTCAATGAAATATAACTTAAAAAACATACGTATAAAATTTCACGAGTTTAATTTTTATCAAATTATAAAATGATATAATAATTATATGTTATGCGAGCATATTAATTTCCGATTGCATTCATTTTTATTGCAAATTATTATAAAAATTACGAACAAATTTAAAAAGAAGCCGAAGAAAGCAACACCATCTTGTTTGGAGGATTTTTTAAAATTGACATTCTCTTTTCAATTCATCTTTGTTATCTTTTCACTTTTTTGTCCAGCAATAAAAACGATACATATTTATATAGCCCGAAGAAAGTACATATCGATGCCTGTTGATGGGATTAATAAATGAAATTCATGATTCACCTTCCAAGATTTCACTTAGTTTTCATATAAAATTCCTTTTACTTTCATTAGCATTCCTTTTCCATTTTCTTTCTTATTTAACATTTTTAATGAAAACGAGCGCTAGATTGCATGATAAAAATGCATTCAGTTCACTTGTTAAAGCATTGATATAACAAATTTTTTGATGAATTACTTATTTATATGTGTAGATACCTATTGTATTTATATTTTAAATGCATTAAAAAAAAAGAATTATTTATAATTATATTCTGTATTTTTAAGTCCAGTCAATGAAATAAAGTTTTTATCACTTTTCAAATATTATTAATGCCTAAGCCAGTACATTATAAGACAAATATTATATTGCAGTAATATTCGTTTCATTTGATTTATAAAATAGTATTTTATAAAACTTTGTTTTAATGTTAATTATAAAATTTTAATTACATATAACATCGATTTTTAATGTAATACTTTAATACACTTTATTAAAAATAAAAACTTATATAATCAAAATTATTAATATAGTATTGTTCTTTTACTTAACTTAGATAATAATTTATAACATTTATTTATATTTCAAACAAATATCTTTTCAGAAGAATATAAAATAAATAATCTTTTAATTATCTTCATTCTTCATCGGTGTATAATATTTATTGTATAATATTTATTAAATAATATATTCTCAATTATTAATTCTTATACAATAAATTTGAAATGAAGATACTAAATTATCATTTTATTTTGATCAAATTATTGATAAATAATTATTCTATACATTTCATAACTATTAAATTTATAATTCTAAATATAAATGTAATCGTAAATATTCTTATGCAATAACAGATACCTAAAAAACTTTACAAAAAATTATTATATTTTAACCTACGATTATAATACAAGTTAGGATAACTTGTTTAAATACTTATTCTAAATATATTTATTCTTCAATAAATTTTATTTAATGACAAGGTCAAGAACTTCGAAACAGAGTTCGATATGTAGAAGTTTCTAGGTGAATTTTAGTACAAAGTAATTAAGTATTTAATGTGTAAGTAAGTAAGTAATTTCTGGTATTATATATATGAATATATACACATATAAATTATTAACTTTTTAGATATATGTTATTTTTCATTCTATAAATACATTATTTTATTTAAAAAATAATACCATGTATAACTTACAACTCGAAATTCTTTCGCCTTAATATGTATATAAATAAATAAATAAATAAATATATATATATATATCTTAATATATATCGTAATTATTTAATATATTTATTTTAAATAGTTTATATTTTCATATTTCAATTATGATCTTAAAAAGTCGGTATATT